GGTGACAATTATCCAAAATTTAATTTAATTTATGCGCAAAATATTGGTTTTCGGGAGTTAATCTACAAAGATTTCTCTCAACCGAATAACCTCCCACTGACTATGGCATGTCTTAAAAGCATGATAAAAAATTCTAATTCCATACAATAGCATCATAATGTAGATTCATAACCAACTCATGCTATGTCACAATTAATAATGGAATTTAAACACATAAGAATTAATCATGCTATTCTAATTACAACATATTAGAAACTCTAGGCAAAAAATAACAATATGCTGTATTTAATATTCAAATTATGCCATAACACAAACTATATCACTTCTGGAATTTTCTGGTATTTTCTGAAATTTTAAATAACTAATAAACAAACATAAAATTAGAAATAAATATTCCAGAATCTGGTAAAATGCTATAACTATACCAGTAAATAGTAAACTACAACAGTAGTCTACAATAAAAAAATCATCCCCAGAAACTTAATCATGCAACACCAGATGCATTTTAAACCAGAAAAATGAATTATTATTTCAGGAAAAACATTTTTTATTTTCATAAAATTTTCAAAATTTTATAGAAGATAAAAAATTTAATTATGAGTCTAACGGTACCAACCACGCTTAAAACAAAGCTATAACGAATTAATTATGACCATTTAATGCGATTCAGAATTTAAAACAGAACAAACAGAGCCTTATGCATCAGCAGCCAAGCTAGCCAAGCCGGCGGAGGAAAAACGGCGCGGTGCGGCTCGGCATGCGGCGCACGTGTGTGGCGCAGAGGGCGCGCGCATGGACAGCGCCGTTGATGCGCGCGTGATGGCGCATAGAGGCGCGTCGGAAACGCGTCTGGCGCGTGGAGGCGCGTGGCAGTAGCTCACGGCGTCAGGTGGCGCGTGCGTACCATGCGCCGCCTTCCAAGGTGTTTTTTGGTCCAATTTTTGTACTGCCAAACTCCATTTTTCAAAATAAAACCATTTATGGTATTAAAAAAAACATTAATGAACATAAAAAAATAAGTATTTATGCTCTTAATCTAATGAGAGTAGATATTTTCCTCCTTTATAAACATTTATGTATGTAATGTGTACATATATATATAAAAATATATACATGATTAAAGAAAACACGAAAATACCCATTCAAGCTTTGATACCAATGTAAATCAAAGGTAAACGCAGCGGATGAAAAATTATGGTCATACCTTTTTCTGCAAAGTCTGAATTGAAGGATCTCGTGGGTAAATCACATGCTTCCTGAATCTGATCAATCAACCCAACAATGGAGTGATATTACAGAATGAATATCACTCACACAAGTCACAGTGCAAAATGGCTCTTGATCGTTGTATTTTGGGAGAGAGTCAGTATGTGAGAAAAACATACGACATACGTTGTTTTTCTCTTAATCACCCATATCCCATATCATATCAGATATATAGGATAATATCTCATCTATCTATATCAGTTGATATGATAGATATGGATATCCTGAGTGGTTATCCAAGTAAGTTTTGAATTTAAATTCAAACTTACATGGATAAGGTTCAAAAGGTTCAAAGGGTCATGCCACATAGGCGCCCAATTTCTAACAAAATATATATATATATATATATTAAATATGTTTGTTGCGTTTATATATACTTTTAAATTTTAAATATAATAAGATTGAACCACTAAAGCATTACACTTATTTCACATTATTTTGCTTTTTTATCTTTTATCATATGTCTTTTAACTATTATTTCTATATACCATATCATCTCTCTATCTCAATAGTATTAATCTCTCCAAGAGTGCTAAATTATCTTGACAATGCCCTGCTCTTGCCATGTCTTCTCGATTGTAAGATATATCACAAATTCAATCTAGTCCCGTCCTAGATGTAGTTTCCAAAACTATAGGGTCCTATTACTATAATAGTTAGAAACCTTGGAAAGGTTAGGTACAATTTGACAATGTTTACAGTATATTATTTTTAGTTTACAGAAAATATTATACGTGTTTATATTTTTTTGAATAAAAATGAAACAAAAAATATGTTTAGTACACAAGTATTTTAAAATTTTATAAAAATGGTGGTTGAGGTTGTTGTTTATCGCTAGAGGTGGTAGCCAAAGGTGGTTGCCACCAATGAGAGGTGGTTGGTAGTGGCCAAAAGTGATTATTGATGATTAGAGATGGTGGTTGGTCGGCAACGTAAGATTGTTTTCAACAAGAGGTAGTGGCCAGAGGTGGTTGTTGACCATTGGAAGTGATTACGAAAAGCAATTAACAATGGTCGAAGATGGTGGTTGGTCGGCGGCCTAAGGTTGTTTTCAATAAGAGGTTGTGGTCGAAGGAGGTTATCACTAGTTGGAGGTGATTGGTGGCCAAGGAAGGTGATTGGAGGAGGAGGTCATCAATGATAGTAACCGATAATGATAAGCAATAAGTGGTGAGAGAAAGAAAAAGAAATTAAAAAAAAAAACAATGATGAGCAATAAGTAGTGAGAGAAAGAAAAAGAAATAAAGAAATTTTAAATAAATGAAACCAACTTTTTTTATATTTAATTTTATAAATTGTTTATAACTTTTTGAAAACAAAAATAAAAACTAAACAAATTTTTATTTATATGTAAATATAAATAAAAAAACTATAAATATATGGAAAATTACAACTCAGTCTGCCTTTCTAAATAAAAATTGGAATCAACGATAAATTTTAAAAACATGGAGAAATTGCAAATCAGTTGAATTTTCTCAAAATAATTATAAATCTATGGAAAAGCTTATGACTTTAATTATTAAAGTTGATAAAGTATTCTATTAATTTGTAATTATTTTGAGAAAACTTTACTTAATTGCAATTTTTCCTAAAAATAGTAGTTAAAGAGAGATTTATTTATAAATCTCATTTATAACTTATAGCCCAATAAATCCACAAAGTATTTTTGCGTTCCATCTATTCCATACATTGGAACTTATATACTAATAGGTCATTTTTCCCATATTAGAAGTGATGAAGTATCGGTTCCCGGGTGGATGGGTCGGACCGGCCCAGGCTCTTCAGGCTCCGGCTCAAGAAGGAGACTCCGTCAGATGACCTGCATGCAATTAATATTTTCTTTACCTCAATGTGAGGGATACACTTAATTAAAGATCTTCCTTTTCAATCAAAAAAAAAAAAAAGATCTTCCTTCACTATTATTTCACAATAAGGTCTTGTCATGGAATAACATTTGAAAGAAAATGTTACTTATACATGTAAACCAATGATAGAGATAGTGATGGACTCGCAACAGAGATGATGGTAATTGTTATACATAAATTATACTCTCTTCGTCAGTTTGTGTAGTCACTGATATTGTGTAGTTTATTCATCAGTATTAATTATATATATACGTCAATATATATATATATATATATATATTTGATTACAGGGTGTTGTGACACTTGTTCATTGAAATGTCACTAGAGCCATTTATGTTTTTCATTTTGTGACATTTTTAAAAAACGTGTCACCAAATATTATTTTTATGGCATTTTCTAAAAAGATGTCACTAGTATAGTGTCACTAAAATATGTTTTTGTTGTAGTGTGTTCGAACCAACTTACGCACATCTCAACTAATTCTGAGATCCACTCAAAACGCCTTTCCACGTGGATCGGGCAAATCTTGGGCAGAGTTTGTGGGTGTGATCCCAATGAGTGGATTGCTTCTAATAGGGAGTTGAACCTAAGATCTAGAGAGAGCACATCCCTAAGTCCCAAATTGCACCCACTAGGCCCACTTTTTGGTGTTAAAAAAAAAAAAGGTTACGTCAATATATATAAACTATTTAATGATTTTTTATATATTGTTTGATAATTTATTGTGTATTTGTTTGTTAATATGCTTGTTAGTTGAGCAATCATTTTTATTGCCATTGAATAATCGAAATAGTCGATTTTTATTTTTTTAATTTTGTTTCGTGTTTTCACTTTGCAATATGAATGTTCACATTGATATGACTTTAGTTTTTAGAAGACTAATTGTATGTTAATTATAAATTATAAACATTCATATTATATTTTTGTATGAATTTTATTTTTTAGAAGTTTAGTTGTATGTTTGTTGTTTTTGTTACTATACTTGTTGATTGAACAATCATTTTTGTTATCATTAAACAATTGAAATAGTCAATTTTCACTTTCACTTTCACTTTTGTTTTATGTTTTCATGCTACAATGTGATTGCTCACATTTGTATGAGTTTACTTTTTTAAGGATAGTTATATATTAATTGTAAATTGTGAATATTCAAATTATATTTTGATATGATTTTTATTTTTTTGAAAGTTAGTTGTACATTTGTTGTTTATTATGAACACTTACATTGTATTTTAGTGTATGTTTTGCTTTTTCGAAGGTTAGTTGTATATTAACCCAAACAACAATGTACTATTTTGATTACAAATATAGTGCGTACATAGAGATGTGAATGTTCACATTGATTCTGTAATATAAATAGGTAGTCGCACTCAGTATTAATGTTCACACACTCAAGTCACATTGAGTGTGTGTATGGTTTCATGAGAAGATATTATTTATCAACATGCATTTGTAATTTGAAAGTTCATATCAACATTTAATGAGAGATTTTCAAAAGGTATATGATTTAGGATTTTAAAAATGTGAGAGATTTTTTTTGTGGAATAAGTGGGAGATTTTTTCCCCTATAATAACTGAGAGATTTAATGAAAAGATTTTCTTCTTGGAATGAGTAGATTTTCTCTAAAATGATGAGAGATTTTATCTACGAAATAAAAAATTATTATTATTTGATCATATTATATCAAATATAACCTAATGAAATACTAAAAAAAAAATATAAGTTAAATGAAATAAATTTACACAAAAAAAAAAAATGGCTCCCATAGTTAAATTTATAAACTTTTCCGAAAGATTATTTTTTATAAATATAAGCATACGTGGATTGTAATTTATTTTCTTTACCCTTAAAAATGAGAAAGTAGGGCCTTGCTAAAATTCGTAGCCAGCCACGGAAGGATTGTTATATTTTGCGAAACAGACGGGTAAAAATCCAGACGCAAGTACGATGGTGAAGACGGTGCTGATGCGTCCGCATGCGGTGGCTTTGTGTGCCTTCCAATTCCAAGCTCAAGCTCATTTCTTCAGCAGCCGCGCTCTCCTCCCATGTCTTCCAGCCACGAAACGCCTCTTCTGCAACCTCACCCCCCTCCGACGTCGCGTATCAATGTTGCCGGAGAAAATTTCTGGGACGAAGCGCTCTGGATGCGATGGCTACGGATCCAAATTAGAAATTCGTCGGAGTCTCAGCATCATCCGAGCAACAACCACCCAAGTCAACGATTCCGGCTCTATCGACTCCCCCTTGATACAGTCCATGGAGAATAAGGTTTTGTTTTTTGACTTAATTTCACTTTCTACCTTACCATGAGTACTCAACTATAAATTAAATCCAATCTATTAATATCTTAAAAAAAAATTATTCAATGATTATAAAAAATATATATATAAACCCAAGTAGTATAAGATTCTGTCTAATTAAGATTTTATTTCAGAAAAATCTTAAAATTTTAAAATGTATTGTTGTTGTGTTTTAATTATTATTCGAGTTTGGTTTCTTAGTCTTGCCAATAAAATTATAGCTGGATTAGATATATAATAAAGGAATAGAATTGGATAATTTAGATAATAGCACTGTGTTACAAATAATAATTGAACAAAATAATACTTTAGTTAATCAGGTTAAATAACTTAATGAAAATCTTAAAGATAATCAATTAGAAATTATCAACAAAATCCAGCATATAATACTTGATAAAGGTAAGCCGATAGCAATTATAGAAAGCTAGCTGGGGGCACATGCGATGTGTAACTTTGCTCTGAATAATAACTTTATATTTTAGGATATAAAAATTTGTAGGAGAAACACCAAACCCTTGGACACCAAGTCCAATGCGCACATGTATAATAGTATAGATAAGTAAAAAAAATGAGATAACTACCCTTATCTTTATAAAGGAAATTTACCTAAAGAACTTCCACCTAAAAAACGTAAACATAACAGAAATTTAAAGTTTTTCTAGAATAAAATCTTAACTAGGTATAGGGCCTTTTGAATTAAATAATTTAGGGATTTGTAGATTCAATTCATATTTTCGGTTTAAGTAGAAATTGATTTATATACTTTAGAGACTTACTAGTTCAATCAATTGTTTAGTGGCGAAATAGATAATTTGGCTATAGTTCAAGGGTAGAAAGTTGAAATAATCCTATAGTTTTAAATCTCTTGAACAAAACAGATAATTATGCAAGTCTTGTGTGCATTTTTGTTGGTCATTGCGGTTATGAATTGTTGCTAGAGATGTTTTGTTTTGATTTCATTTTGTTAACTTTACAAGTGTTATCCAACAAATGTACATATATACATAGGAGTATGTGTGCAAATGTTATATATAATGGACTCTTCAAAATGAATAAAATACCCATGTTGGACAACCGACACTTGGACAAAGATATGAGATATGTGTTGAATACTTCTTATATATTTATATTTAACACTACTATTGTGGCCTTGTTTGGGAAGTTGGATCTAAGTTAAAATAGCCAATAAGACATAATGTCATATGTAAATCAGAATCATTTATCTTTTTCTCTCACAACCATAAAATCAACTACAAAAAAAAGCCAACTATCATCCCAAACACAACTTTTTTAGTCAGGCTAAAATAACTAAAAAAGCCAACTAAAATAACCTATTCCCGAATAGGCATTATATGTGCATATTGTTGTATAATTGTTATAAATATCTTTTTGGCATTGTATGTTATATATAATACCATTTTATATCACACAATAGAGTAAAAATATAAAAAATATGACATTTTGTTGCCAAATTTACATACTCTTAAATTTAAGGTTTGATCAATCTGACACACCAGTACCCGACACTTGTACCTGGCTCCATGTAACATAGGTTATATATATACGCCAAGTACACACACACACACACACACATATATTAGAGATGTGAACATTGACAAGAAAAAGAGAGAAAGTGGTATGTGCAAAAGAGAGTAAGAGTGCAAAAATTGACAAATAGAGAGAGAAAGTTAGGGAGTAGAGAGAGGGCATCTATATGAGTGGTATATATGGTGTATTTCATATCCTAATTATATGTTTTGACCATGGGATGTGGTAGTATAATTGTTAAAAGGGGCAACGGGTGTGGAGGGACTATGTCAAGAAAGAGATGTGCAATTGGTGAGGGAGAAAGGGGAGGAAGAAGGTGAGTGTTTGGTTGTAGATTTAATATGTAGGGTGATTAATAAGATGGGTGCTTGCTTGTAAGGTTTACGTTGCCCAAATTATGAAATGTCTTTTTTTGTCCCTAAAACTTAAACATTTTCCATTATTAATTTGGACAGGATTTTTCAATTGGACCACATAATCTCAAATCACAAACTTTAGTGATGAGATAGATGAAATGGAAACTTTAAGGAAGAAATGACCAACACGGTGATAGTTTCGGGGATAAACGTGTAATTAACCCTTATTTTTTCCATAAAAAAATAGATAAGTCATTCTCATAAAAGGCATCCTTTATTTTTAAGCCATTAAGTTAGAAATTTCATGGATAATTGAATTTTTGTTGTTATGGTGTGCGTATGTGAGTACCCTTGTATACCTTTCAAATGAAAGAAAAGAAATATGGAAATGGGTAACACAACTATCCTTGTTGTCCGCTTGGAATGTCCCAAGATTCCCTTTCTTGATCATCACCTATTTATACATTTTATATATGTAGTGGGTATATTTACTTGGTTTTTCATCTATTTGTATGGTTTGTGACAATTCCATGTTGCCTTTCAACTAACAATTAGAGGAAAGCCGATATTCATTCATAGTAGAGCTCATTCATGAAAATTTAATTATGTATACTAGACAATATCATGGGAAGTAATTTTAAAATGTTTCTATTATTGGGACTTCATTGGCCTTTCTTCATCATTACTTATACTTGCCCCCTGCATGTTGTCTTTTTTGGCAAGTGGGTATGGTCACCACATTGTTGGTGAGGGTTTGATTCTCCAACTTAACTGGAACAATGCATGGGGCAGTTTGCTGTTCATCCCAAGTCTACCTTACTGGGGTGGGTCGAAAGGGCATGCCTAGGCGAGTTCTTAGTCGTAAAATAAATAAATAAATGAAATCCTAGGAGTCATGAAATTTTTGTCTATTAATTTAAGATCATATTTGAAATATCTTTTTAGCTATTTTTTGGTTCAAAGGAAGTAGAACCTATGTTACGTGGACTCAAGTACGAGTATCAGGTTCAGATGTGTGTCCAAGCAGTCGATAGTCATGAATTTGATCTTATTGTAGGTGAACGAGTGTCATTTAAGTCATCAGTTAAGAATTCTGGTGTTGGTTTTGTACAAAGAAATCATTATGGTGGAGTCATGGATTGCAACTCTGCTATTGTTTGTGTTAGAAGAAATCTCCATAATTCTTGGATAATTCAGGACACAACAAGAAGGATGCTTGGGAAAATTTTTGTTTTGTCACCCTTTGTAGTTGAACTCATATGTTATCTTTTGCAATAATAGAGAGGAGGGAGGAATACAGAAGTTTTGGAAGTGCTTTCTAGTGGAGCAGGTTATGGTGGGGCTAAGAAGATGGGAACTTGATAGTTGTTTTCCATGTAAAATAGTAGATTCTTATGTGGGATAGGTTGGTGAGATTGATTCACCTTCCCATTTTTGGAGGCTTGAAGTTTTTCGAAGAATAGGTGATTACTATGGCGGTTTAGTTAAGACTGATTGCAGAACTTCTCAATTTTCCAACTTTTTTGAAGCTCTTATGAATGTTAGTGGTGTGGGATTGGTTTTATTCATGCCTTGTTTGAGGGTTGTCTCAATGCATTTGAGGCTTGTACCAAAGGTTCAAAGGATCAGCTATGGTGAATTGAGTCCCATCAGTGCAAGATAGGATAAAATTTGTATCCACTCATTCAACGATAGAAGAAATGGTATGTGACAGGAAATGAGTGAGGGACGATAGTAAGTAATGATGTTATGAAACACATCATTTCATTAATGGGGTGGTTGGGGCTAGGCCAGGTGAGGTGATAATCACGAGTTATGGCGGATTGAGCAGCACCAGTGCAAGATAGGATGAAAACTCATTTAAAGGTGATGAAAGGTTACGTGACAAGAAATGGGTGAGGAAGGATAGAAGTGATGGTGTTACAAAGGAATCAGACTATGATGAAACGCATTGTTTTAGTACTATGGTGGTTGGGGCTAAGCCACATGATAATCATTAAGAATTAAAAAGCTTAATGGTAACAAGTTTGGAACTATTTTCAAGGCCTATTTCGTTCTAGGCCCAATGCAAAATTACAAAGATAAAGAGTTTGGTTCATTGGCTACATCGGATTTAAGGGCTCGTGGTGAGCTTTGTTGCGTGGACTTGCCACCCTGGGCTTGCCGAGAGTGGAGAAGAACCACAAATCGAAGACTCTTGATGAAGAACCAAAAAATTGAAGAGAAGAAAAGGGCTTGCGAAGAGAAGAGAAGAATGAGAAATCGAGGACTCTCAATGAAGAACCAGAAATCGAAGAAAATATCTTCTCTCCAGGGTTATGTGCTTTGACTGGGGCTTTGGTCCTGATTTCCAAATGGCGAATAAGAGAAGACATAGAGTTCGCATGATTGCGACTAGGATTTGCATGATTAAAGTGGATGAGTTGGCACGATTGAAGTGGATGTTCGTTGGGCTAGCAATGCCTGGGTAATCAAGCAGATGGGCTGGTATGGCTAGATAATCAAATAGATGGGCTGGCACATCATTATCTCGCATGGGTTATTATATGGGCTGGGAAAATAGATAGGCTATCATAAGCTAGCTAAACAAATAGATTGTGAGTTGGGCTGTGTAAGCAAATAGAGGAAGAGCCCATCATGGTCTAGTATGGATTCTTATGTGGGTAGTATCTTATATAATTCTTTTTTAAATATTGAAAAAAATTATATATTTATGAAGTTTATGTGAATTATTGTAAGTGTTGAGGATGACTTAGATCTAATGATGAATGAAATTTGCATTACACATAGCGTGTATACATACTCGTATTAGTTGAATCCCCTTATTCTATAATTAGGGAAACTAACGAAGCTGATTTGACATCCGTACCAAAGGTCGTGTAACTTAGGTGGCAAGGTGGGTCTTAAAGACATTTTCAACCTTACAATAGGTTAATTATACAAGTCCATTAGCTTTAATATGGATGACTCCATGATATAGAAAAGCTTGCTGGATTTCCAGAACATAGCCCATTTGATGGCCTAAACAATGGGTAATTTAGGGTTTGAATGGTTAAATTGTAGG